CCGTGTTGACCCTCCTCTTTATAGACTGGACACTGGTTCAACTCCATTTGATGGGGTCTCCATGGCCTCCTTTTTCAAGAGGACAAATGACTCACCACAGTAACAGGACGTTTTGAGAGATGTTCACAGTCCCCTGAAACTTAGTCGACCTAGAAGGGCAAGGAGGAAAACTGTCCTTTATTTCCCTCTGACCAAATTAGTATAGGCCTCAAAGTATGCCTGCTAAACATCCAAGAAGGTTAGATCCACCAGTCTGGTACTTTTAATTACCATGTGCCATGTAGATAAAGCTTGGGCAAAGACCAAACGTTCTCATATATATCAGTAGGTTGTTGAACTAATATATTTCCCTCTGGTTTTTTAAAACTAGCTTGGTATTATTTATCTCTTTCATTGTCTAACCCTTCCACCATGATTTCCCCATTTAAAGTGCCCCCATTTTTCCCATTTCTCCCTCAATAATACCCTTCTTGTATGTTCCTACCTCTCTTGAGCTCCTTCTTTCCCTTTATCCCCAAGGTTCCACATATAACCCTCCCTCCCCTCTCCCCCCTCCCCTTAAAAAAAAACATTTTTATCCATATCTCCCTTATTAATGCCTGTTTCCTGTTCTTCTATTTCAGATTCTTTCCTTTACCTCACTGTTTCCTTTACATTATCCTGGTTCCTATAGTTATGTCTGGATACATAATCACTTATAAGGATTTGGTGCTAGGATCCACATATGAGGGAAAACATATGTTGGTTTTTTTTGTTTGTTTGTTTCTTTTATTTTTTGTTTTTTTCTGAGTCTGTTATTTCACTTAGTATAACAGTGTTCTATTTCCATCCATTCACCTGCAAATTTCATGTCATCTTTCTTTACTGCTGAGTAAAACTCCATCATATAAATGAACTACATTTTTATTATCCACTCATCAGTTGAGCTACACTTAGGTTGCTTCCATCTCTTAGGTATTGTGAAAAGAGCAGCAACAAACATGGATGTACAAGTGTCTCTGCAATAGGATGAGTTTTTTGCATAGATGCCAAGGAGTGGTATAACTGGGTCAAATGGTAGGTTCATTTGTAGTTCTTTAACAGTTCCCCACACTGCTTTCCATAGGGGCTGAACAAGTTTGCAGCCCCACCAGCAGTGGATGAGCATTACCCTTTCCCACATCTTCTCTAACATTTGGTATCATTTGTTCTCTTGATCTTAGCCAGTCTGACTGGGGTAAGATGAAATCTTAAAGCAGTTTTAATTTGCATTTCCCTAATTACTAATGATGTTGAGCATCTTTTAAGATGCTTCTTAGCCATCTTCATTTCTTCTTTTGAGAACTCTCTGTTCAGCTCCTTAGTGCATCTTTCAATAGGGTTACTTCCTTTCTTGATTCTTTGTTTTTCAGTTTGCTATATAGTCTGTATGTTAAACCTCTGTCAGATGTGTTGCTGGTGAAGATTTTCTCCCATTCTGTGGATTTTCTCTTCACTTCCCTTGTTGCTTCTTTTGACGTACAGAAGCTTTTTAGTTTAATGAGGTCCCATTTATTGATTCTGACTTTGTTTCCCGAGCAATTGATGTCTGGTTTAGAAAATCCTTTCCTTCACCTGTATCTTGTAGGTTATTGCCGATGTTTTCTTCTAACAGTTTCAGAGTTTCAGGCTTCACATTGAGGTCTTTGATCCATTTAGAGTTGACTTTTGTGCAAGGTGAAAGATAGGGGTTTAGTTTCATTTTTCTACAGGTGGAGATACAGTTTTGCCAGCAACATTTGCTGAACATGCTAGATCTTTTTGAAGTCTGTTATGATTTTTT